ACTGAATCAGCTCTATGATATCTGTGGGCTACGAGTCCTACAAAGTGGGCCTTGAACGTGTCTTCCATTTTATACCAACATTAAAATAAATAAATCGTCACATGGTCTTCTGACGGTGCAATTTGCACTAAAACACAAGTAATTTTATTATTTTTCTCCAGACAGATTGTTTTTCAATTAAAGACTGCTTGAAAAGCAGTAACACTATCAATTTTTAAGATAGTGATTGATAAATGAGAGCTGACTACGGCGTAGCGCTACGACGTAGCAAACACCACACTTCAATTGATAAAAACTGTTTCCCAACCTAATTGAATGTGAAATACATTCAATGAAGATGATGCGATGAGGGTGACTAAGTCTTCGGAGCTGGGAGGGAGGGGGTGGCTTGAAAAGGAACAGATCAAAGGTGCGCGCCTTAAGCGCCTCAAGCGAAAAGTGCGGGTCTTTCTCATGTTTTAATTTATATAAAAGACGCACAGTCTGAGGCCGGCCGGCTCCGGGCGGGCGCAGCTCAGCGCTCACGACCTTGTAGCTTTGTGTTCCTACTTGGAATATCATTATTGTGACAGTGACAGTGGCACGAGACTCATACTCTTGTCTTATCTTTTGATTTTTAATTTGAATATTCACATTAAAGGCACCTGTGGGAAACTTCTTTTCAAAAGTAATTTGCAAATTAATGTACAGAATGTCTAAAAAATATTTTTACATGTCATACGGATAATAAAAAAAACCTTCTGGTTAATAATGAAACAAAATAGTCTCATGTTCGAATCTCCGCCCTAGTAGCCATGAAGCGACTTCATGAAGCGACATGCAGTAGCGCGGCTCGCGTCGGTACTTTGCATGTCTGATCGCTAAGTTCGCCTGCATAACGACACAGGCTGCCTCTGAACTAAACGCTAAGCGCCGCGGGTTCGCACAGTCGCGACGCGGCGACGCGGCACGCCCGTCTGTGTGCCCCCACACGCACCGCCGACTGCTTCGGTGGTGCAATTAGCGTGCAGTGCCTTCTACGAGCACATCCCTACTTAAGCACTCACAAATACGTATAATATTGGAAACTAATAGCGCTTTAATGCCTTTACTAGTTACTTTACTACTTGTTCGTTTCCAGCGAAACAAAATACATGCTACTCTATCAAAAAACTACCGCCAAAAGATCAATAATATTACACAATCATAATTCCTCCAAATTAATTTTATCACCTTCGAAGTATGCTTCTTCAGAAGCGATACACTTATGCTAACGAATAATTAAATCATGAAAACATTTTTAAACACTTTTTTTGGAATTCAGTTCAGTTTTCGTCGCGAATTCTCCTTTGTGTCTTCTTACCGAATGAAAACGAGGTCACGCAGTGGTAATTTAAATTTAAAAAAGAGAAAGAGATTGGTTGGAGCCATATCTGCTGAATAGAGTGATTGCGCGATGTTGTTTGTTGAGCTTTTGGTCAAAAGTTCCTTCACAATGATGGCCACAAAGCCACACCCAACGAAGGTGCATTGTGGTAGTGTAAAATCCAATAATTTTCTTTGCACCTATCTGGCCTCTCTAAATTTCTCTCTCAACGCCTTATAACGCTCATACAATAATCTTTATTTACCGTTTGAGCCTTCGTCAATAATTCCGAGCGCGCAACACTGCAATAGTCAAACAAAAGTGCCATCATGACTTTGAGTTTTGATCGACTTTGACGTAGTTCTTTTGGTTTAGTTGGGAGGCGCTACTCCAAAGCTTATTGTCTAGTTCACATGTCAAATTCGTAGAGCTACGTCGCGTTACAGCACTAACAAAATGCTTTTCAAGAATGTTGGATCAGAATTGACTCGTTCTAGCATGTCCTCAGTTAATCTTATGCGACTGAGTTTTAGAGAGAAAATTAGATCTTTCTGAGCATGATTGCACCCAACTGATTATTGAATAAATGCTACGGATCGACTCATGAAACACAGAAAGTTCGGCGGCTATCTCTGTTAAACTGAATAAGGATTTTCAGTCACTATTCCACTTTTGGGATGTAACTTGAGTAGCAGAAGTTGACGGCCTACCAAAGCGAAACAAATTTTCATCACATCTTGACTGCTTTTGAATGACTGTAACGTATTTTGGATAAAGCCGCTAAATTTGCTGTGAGTAAGTATTGTGGACCAGATATAGAAAAATATACATATAAGCAATAAAAAAACTGGATAACTTATGTACATTAAATAATATGATAACAGAGGAAGTGACGTTATAGAAATTAAAGCAGAAGTACTTATGACTACAGTACGTACAACGAGAATAAAATTAATTGTAAGAGCCACGCCTCTCCTAGAAATAGAGAGGCAGAAATGTTTCTAAAAATTCAAACTAGATTATGTCTGGGTAATGTGGACCCAAATACTCCACCATCATTCTGTTGTGCCCTATGTCCCATCTACATACACATACCACTATACGAATGCGCATTATATTAGTAGTGCCTGATAGCATTACAAGACGAGATTAACTAGAAAGTAGAAACAAGAACATTAAAAAATGTACTCGCAGGCACTGTTTAAAAAAAATACAATATTTTAAAGCTTGGTCCACAATCAGCGCCGATGTACAGCCGGTAGTGTGTGTGTGCTAACAACTGTCTCCGTAGATTATAAAATCATTGCAAGCTCGACGATTGTGAAATCAGGTCTGACATTGATTCCCTCTGCGCGTCTTCCCAATCCGCCTCAGTTTTGACACTCAATTTCTTCGCAAATTGAATCAAATTTAGTGGACACCCTAGTTGAACCAGTGCGCTCATGTGTGTGGACACTCTTGTCGACTAGTTAACTGCTTAATATTACCTTAAAATGTTTGGTGATAAGTGTTTGCCGAAACCCCTAAGTGTCACCACCTGAATGCGCTACCCTTCTTGGAACTATGATAAATCTATTAAATTTTTATTGTTATCAAAATTACAACTCAAAAAAAGATCAAAGATCCGCAAAAAAACTCTTATTCGTATCGGAGTAACGGCCAGGCCGCCCCACGCTTCAAACCCTCATATATGATTGCTCCGTGGTTAAAATGGATAGGATGATAGTACCTATGCGTGCGGGCTTCACAGCTTGCCACCAGTCATCATGGAAATTTTATATTTTATACGGATTTAATGAGGTTATCTGTGAAACATGTGTCTGGTAAGTATTTTAAAAAGATATAACTTGTAAAATCTGATATTGGAGGCTGTTTGTGGACCGGATGGATTAGTTGTCCCAAAATTATTCTTGTGAATTTTCGTATCATGTCCCTTAAAAAAACATTCCCTAATTAGAATATTTATTTTTAATTAGAACAAAATAGAACTGTAACACAGAGGGTCTCTTTATTTTTTACACGTAGGGGGAAGAGCCTAATGTTTGAATACACTCACGCAGTAGACACGGTAATCAATGGTAATTAACATATAAATAGCATAGAATATCGCGTATATCAAAGACGTGCTTCTGTAAATTATAATTAAATGAAATAGGCATGAGAACCAGATGCCAGGTGCTGTCGATGGGAGACGGCACTAGCTTCTTGTCGCCTCCTTTCTAGAGGCATGAGGTAAACCTCTCAATCTCATTGTACCAACGGCTGCCCCACTTTACATACCTATTCGAATACTTCGAGCACTACACAAGTCCTTTTTTATTTTAATTGCTTGAATATACAATAAGGTATAATAGCTATTACTACAAAATTGATCTGTAAGCTATGTAAAATATAAATTTATTTTGAAATAACACATTTCTAATGAGAGGATCGATAAGTTTTGAATGTAATCCTTTAACTAATGACGTCACGGTGCAATATATCGTGTTGACGGTGGTCGGAGGGTCGCCGGCTCCGAGACTGCCCTCGCATGAATCGCTCATTCGATTACGATGAAGTAGAGCGTCCGCTAACGACCTCTTCGATGAGATCTGTGAAGGGAGCTAATTTTCCACAACCCACATCCACCCTGACATCCTGTGCGGATCACAAGTAGTGGCCATCAGGCCAAGACAAGATTCCGAGTGTATGATGGGCAAATCACATTTTTATTTGTACACAAAATGATCATGAAAGTATGACTTTCACAATACCGTTAAATAAGCTGAGGCGTGCACACCGCCGCTACCAGCAGCAGATTATTGAAGTCGTTAGTTACAAAGACCTGACAAAATCATTGAACCAGCGGTGCACCGCCGTCGTTACTACTATTTGCTAACTGTTCTACCACGAGACCCGGCTGCAGGCGTCCGCACTCGCGCGCTATCGCAGGAACACGTGCGGCCTGGAACTAGGAACTGTTCTATTCACCCATTAATAGTCTCCAGGGATCGTTTTTGCGACGTTGGAGTGAACTTCCTTCACAGTGCTAATAACGCCCGAGTTATGACACTATTTTCATCAATCGAGGTTGTAGGAGATTGATTGCTGGTAGGCAGGCGCGTGGTTGTCAATACTGTCGTCCGATAGCGATAAGCGATGGTGACAATCAGATTGTATTAGTCAGCAGTCGGTGGGTGTATCCGCGCCCCGACGCCGGCCGCGTCATCGTGGTTTATGGAGCGCAGATAAAGAGACAGTGCTTTACGACGTTTAATGTTCCTGGAGGCCGCCGCGTGACGCACGCCTCGGGAATACCCGGCGGGGCTCACGGCTTTATCTGCTGAATTCACCCACCACACCCACAACGATTTGAATTCACCAGAGCCGGATTGTTTCGACTGATCCTTGCGTTGATAGAATATTATATATAACTCTACTTACTTTAATATACATGTGAGGTAAATTTATACTTTTTTCCCCCTAACTATTAACTCGTAGCCTAGGCGGCTATTCCGGCTATGCATGGACAAGTAGGTGAGCTCCCGGGTACAACCTGACAGAATTTCCTAACACTAGCCCTAGCAACAGCCGTGCTGAGAAGATCCGACGAGAAACTCAGTGGGCTCAATTATAATGACGTCGTTTGCTAATACTTATAGTTCCGAGGAACTTCCAGATATTAGTAGCTGCAGAAGACTTTATATGTTTTATGTAAAAAGTAGCGGCGTTTAGCTTCGGTATCACCTGGTTACACCGGTTTCTTACAATTTTGTAATAAGCCCAGCGATTATCGCATTGACCCTTCCGGAAGCTACAAAACCTCGTTCTCTACGCCGCATACACATACGCACTCCTTTAGTTATCCACGGAGCTGGGTGATATTTTACCTTCACCTTCTTATCAGGCACATGGATGTCGTACAAATTAAGAATAACTTCATTAAAAATACGCAAATTATCATTCACAGAAGATGCAACCACGAAGTCATCCCGTTGCAATTTTGAAGCATCGTTGCGGAAACGATCTAAATTTAAACATTTTAAACTACGAATTCTCATAAGCTTAGGTTGGGATTTCGGGGGACTTAGGGGGGGACTTCATGATGGGAGGAGCTAGGTGCTGGATATTGATCATGAGATGATACAAAGGTGGGAGAGGAAGTAAGAATTGGTCAAGCCATATGTCTTTCCCATCCCTGCTCTAATGAGTGGTTTGTAAGGGCAGGAAATTTAAAGCTTTTCTGTTGCTCTAAGATTAATGTGTGCGGCAGTAATAAACCCAATGCTACGAGCATGTAGATATACGGTGGCTAGATACAAAGATGATATACGTATCTTTATAGCAATGGTCATCCTGAAGCGCCAGGTGCTGGGATCCAACAAGAATACTCCAGCTCCTTGACGCAAGTTGATCAGTAAAAGGTACAGATTCAGATTCCAGGACGTGAGTGGACAATCCACGGAGCGTATTCTAGCAATAGATAACTACGTCGCGATTAATAGGTCTATTGAAACCCTATAATTATTTATTCATAATTAGTAACATGAATCTATGAAGTTTGGACACAGTAAAAATGTAAAGGACTTACCGATATTACAAATCGGGCACTTATAATAAACTTGACTGTCTGTCAGCTAATTCTAACAGTGTGATGAGTCGACCTTCACTGCAACTGTATAGCTGAACGGCTACTGCAGCGACACGCGCTTATATACATATTAGAACAAAAGGTGTTAAGATGCAGTGCTTGCCAAGCGCGGGTCGCAAAACTCGTTAAGATGCAGTGAACGCCAACACACGGGTCGCAATCAAATTATGCATAACATAATACTGTATTACAGCATGCGTCGATTCAATAAGAAAACCTCATCAATATCTAGATGTAGCTTGCTGAGGATGTACCGTGCTATTGTGTCTACTAACTAGGTACTAAGAAGTAAATTTGCTCATCAGTTGTAGTTTCGTAATGCTGATGTTTGTCAACTCTAGCTACTCTAAACAACCGTCCTACTTTTTAATCGCTACAAGCTTCTAGATTGCAGTTGTCCACAGTTTTATGTATATACGGAAAACAATTCAATGAATATTTTGTATACACAAAATTTGTATAAAATTTCGTCTGATTTATGTAAAACTAGAGATTTTTATTATTTTCTAATAAAGGCTCACCGTTATGATTCCAGGTCCTCCAGGCCCTCCTGGCAAGAGAGGGAAGAAAGGCAAAAAGGGAGACCCGGGCGAGCCCGGACCTTCGGTAAGTGAGGCTCACTAATAGAGAATACAACATGTATATAATTTTGCATAAAATAAAATTCTAGAATACATACAATATAATAAATAATTGGGAACCCTTTTAAGCTATTGCATAGCTTTTATCCCGAGCTTTGAGCGCGGCAGCTGAATCAAGAAATTCCGTAACGAAAATAAAACCTAACACCACTCCGCCTACCATGTAGCTCGCGTTCAACACATTCACACGTTGCGTTTGTTTAGTGTTTGTGAATAACCGCGCGGCGTGACGTCGCACCGCATACGCATCATGAAAAGTCTACCCAACTCTCCCACGCGCGGTCTAGCTTATGTGTGTGAAGGGGACAGTTAATGTTTTGCTTTTGTTAATGTTTTTAAATATAGCGTGGTCTTATTTTATTATTGTTTCAATATTAAATTATTATTGTCCAATTATAATTGCATAAGTTGACAAAAAATGATATGCAATAGCTTCACCGCGGCAGTCCCCGAATGCCACACGTGTTTTTTTATTTGCTCATTCAAACTGTAAAGTATATATAAAGTATATTATTTTTAAGAGTGTTTTAAAATGGTGTGAGTAGTGGCTTTGATCCCGCTTCGCAATCGTGAGCTAATCTCAATCTCATGGCTCTCGAGCACAGCCCCGGCTGTCAGCGCGCTAAGAGTGGCCCGGGGCGGGAGCTCGCCGTCTGACAGTGACCCATAGAGCCACACGCCCGCACCCATAGCGCCTCGCTTTAGTGACTGTTCGTTTGCTTGCAGGGGTTGACGGGAGCGCCGGGGAAGAATGGATTCCCGGTACTTATGATTTTATATTACACTCCTCCATCTTCTTTTCTTAAACTTAGCTCTAAAACTACCTTTTAATCGAAATTCAATTTTTCGATTATGTGTCAGATTATAATCTCATAAGTACTCTTTCATTTCTTTTTTTACCACCTACCCTCTTTTAGTACTGACAAGATCACTCGAGAAATTTCATTTTCATCTACACGAAACTAAATAGAACTGAGTATTGATTCGTAACTTATCCTTTATGCCATTTCTTAAATTTCTATTTTAATACCACCTTTCTGTCAATGGAGCACTGTGTGACTTGTTCGATTCAAGTTGGACGAAGGTTTTGGCAAGGTCGGCATTGAGTTGACGAGTGGTAATTGCAGGATCGTATACATACCTGTATTTCAATCTTCTTCTTGTATACACGGGTGTGACGTTTCAGGGTAGCAAGGGCGGGAAGGGCGAGCGAGGCTTCATGGTAAGACACTCCCCCCCCCCCCGCACTCATGAATCCTTTGGAATCCTCGCTACTAGAACGCTTCTTATTAATTAATTCTGGGGACGGTGCATTCCAATTCAATTGTTAACATTCAGCTTGGTGCATTTAACGCGGACCAGTGAACTGGTGACAGTATAGTCATACACTTCGTTGTGATCGTCGCGGCTCGGAGTGGGTCCCTGTGAGCGACCGGGTGCTCTGTTCCCTGGAGTCTAACCCGCTCTACACTCGTCTGTAGCTGGTCCCCTTCTTGTGCTTTTGTGTTGCCTCACACATATATTATTATTTGTTTAGTGTTATGCGTACGTAGTTGTGAATTTGACTCATTTTTGTTTAGTCTTGGTTTTCTATTAAAATACAATACTAATTATTATGTCGATACAGCTGTGGCTCCACTACCGTTGCCGCGCAGTAGAGACCACATACTTTGTACAGATTGAATCGTCGGTAAAATATTTACTAACATGTGCAGTGTATACTAACATGTGTAGTACGTACTAACTTATGTAGTGTGGGCTACCGCGGAGAGCGGTATGCACCTGGTGGTATTTTGTCTATTCATTTACAATATGAGCATTTAAATATTTATGAATTAGAATTAATTTCGATGCGTTCATTTCCAGGGACCAATTGGATTAGACGGACCAAAAGGCGATCCGGTTAGTATTGGTGACTTGGTGACTAGTAAACTGCTTAATATAACTATAGTACTGACTGCAGGGCATCCTGGCGACGAGCACGTTCGTTCGTCGCGGGTCAGGTACCTGCGAGTAGGTAATGGCGGTACATTGTACTCATTATCAATATACAGCGATATCTCATTTTCAAGCGCTAACATATCAAATATATGGACCTATGTTCTTACTTATGTTATTAGGAATTTGAATGAATCATTTTTTTTAGTATTGAGTTCAATTTTTAACAGTTTTAGGATAACTATTGAGGGTAAAAATTGTTTTCTTTTCTAAATAAATTACCGTTTCATTTTCCAGTTAAACTGCTACTGTCTAATATCTAATATTACAGTACCCACTTGTTAATGATAACACGAATGTACCTCGCAGTAAATTGCACTATTTTATTTAAAACTAGCTGACCCGGCAGACGTTGTAGTGCCTCAATCGATAAATAAAAGACCTAAACATTTGTATAAAATAAACTTAAAACAAACAAAAAGAATCCGTCCGACGCGGTACACATCAAAGGAAAAACAAAATTGTTATTTTTATTTAATTCCGAGCATTTTCATACTTATCTACCTTTTAAACCTTCTCTGGACTTCCACAAATAATTCAAGACCAAATAATTCAACAGCAATTCATTTTTTTATATTGTCATTCTTTGAAAATCGTAGGTAATAATTTTATTAATGAAACATCTTGGTTTACTTAAATTAATTTCACTGAATTTCAGCCTTGATACTTATTTAGGAGTATTGAAATATAACTTCATACATTCCAGGGTCGACCCGGTGACAAGGGCCAGAAGGGCGAGCACGGGAGCCCAGGCTTCGACGTATTCTCAGCCGTCAAGGTAACACACTCATACACACTCAACCGAATTAGAACTCATCTTTATAATTTGAAAATGAATTGAAACCTAGAATACTCCACTCCCTAATTCAGCCGCGAACAAGTTATGTATTCTGGTTTGAAGTTTACAGCCGTCATTGTGAATTCTGTCTCACTTCTCAAGGTGACCAGTGGCACTCGAGTCGTGATGCTGCAAGCCCCGGTAGTCATTGAACATATCCACATTCAGGGAAATAACAAAGCTATGACTGAAAGAATTCCAAAAACACCGTAGTTACCTTATTCATATTTACAAAAAAGTTAAAAACCCAAACATGTATTATGTATCTGGTGATGATATAATGTACCGAAATAATGAAATTGCAGGGCGTCAAAAGATCAGTGGACAACTTTAAGATAAGTCCGTACACAACGGCAGAGATTATTGCAGTGAAGGTAGACCACGCATCTCCTGATCCACAGCACGGCCCGGTCGCCCATTGTGAGACGACAGGCCTGACCCACACTTCCACCTGTTAAATCGACCGGTTCATACGATTGGCGACCTTGGTAGCTCACAATGGACGACACAAGCCGGCTAGCTCTCGTGTGCCGTATCTGTAGTTAGGCTTACCTCGTATTGGCACAACTTCACAACTTCGATGGAGCTCTGTGCGGGGGGATTTCAATATCGCTTTATTTTATACGAGTATGTATTTAATTTGTGCTTTCGCGCGGGGTTCATTCGAGCTTTCTTGTGCGTTGTCTTTTGTTATTCGATGTAGATATTTTAAATAGAATACATAATTGGCATAATGCGGTGTAGCGATGATTGGTGCATGCGTCCTGTGCGTTGTATTGATGTAGTTGTGACGTAGGGGCTGCAGGCTGCCGGACACAACATCTCCGCGCAAACGGTCATTCAACTCAAGGTCAGTTCCACAAGCGCATATAAGCGCATTCACATGCATTCACACGCACGCAATATATTCAACAACAACAGTAACTTCTCTCTCTCTCTCTCTCTCTCTCTCTCTCTCTCTCTCTCTCTCTCTCTCTCTCTCTCTCTCTCTCTCTCTCTCTCTAAATACAACAAGACATTACAATAGTTAACATATAAAGTAAATATATAATAACGTAATAACGCCTAATGTGCGTACTGGGAAAGAAAATCCTGCAACAAATGGATGCACTGCCCTTTAATGTACTCTTGTACTAATGTAGGTACTTCTAAGAAATATACACAGACATCAGTCGACATCCGACATCATTTACACACTCTGTGTACTGTGTGGGTATCGAGTGAAGCGTCTCTGTCTGGGTTCAGATCCAGCACACAGATACTAACTGTTCTTAGGAAATACGTTTCTAGTGTAACGTATTCCAGGATGAAAGAATCACATTCTGCGAATTAAGATATGTTCATAGTGACTGACGACAAGGTCTATTGTGAGTCCGGGCGGCTTCTGAATCGAAGCAGTCCTCACTGAGGCCATTGATAATTGGTCGGAACACTAGTCAGGGTGGCTCAACCGCTGTGTACAGTTTGAAACATGTAAGAGAGAAAATAATTTCTCTGGAACTCCGATTTGGACGAGAGTCCTCTGTGGTGCTCACAACAACTTGCCGCAAGCTGGTGCATCAACAATATTTTAGTAAAGTTTTACATTGTTGTCAGCGGGGAACAGTTACATAATAATATATAGAATATTGTAGATACCGCCGGATAGGAACATCAACTGTGCTTGCACGCTTCTATTTTATAATTAAAGTTAATTTAGTATACGCCATATAGTATATAGTTCATTTCTGTATCGGATCCTGAAGCAGCTCCCTACACGCTGCAGGCAATGCGGTGTTTGGCATTAAGCAAATACTAACAAATTTGAGGGAAAATAAAAAAATCTGTGCGTCTCACGCGATCGCTCAATAACACAATTATTAACAAATAACTTATCTATCTTTATTTACAATGTGCTGTGCTTTCATTTCATTTCATTTGACATAATACTTAAAAACTGCCAATTCTTTGGTCGCAATCATTTAAACTTAAATCTCATAATCATTGGATTGAACTTGATTAAGTCAACTGAAATGTATAGGTATTCCTGAGGTGCAGTTGAAACTAGCGCGCGCGTACTGTCGCACAAATCTATTTTTCAAGTGAACTTACATTTCGGGAGTGAACATAATGAGAATGCAATGCAGGATATTCTATTGACATGTCGTTTGTTTAACCGTTCAACCAGTGCTTGCTGCTTTACTGTTGTGCTTCCATTCAAACGCATGATGTATTCGTTTTGTTTGATACTGCCGTATGATCTTTTTTGTAACTCTTTATTTTAAAAATCAATAAAAAACTTAAAAAATGTGCGTTCCAGGGAGAACCAGGTGAACCAGGTCCTCCGGGGCCACCGGGGCCCCAGGGCGGCGAGGGTCTACCCGGACACGATGGACGCGGGGGTCCGCCCGGTCCCCCTGGCCCTGCTGGTACATCCGGCCCACCCGGACCCACGGGACCCGTAGGACCACCGGGCCCGCCCGGACCACTAGGACATAAGGTAAAGTGCAAATCTACGGTCTCTCCTGCCCACTCCTTTCTTTGTTCGCGCTTCATATTTTTTATCATTTGATTAAAGTTAAAGTAAAGTGTTTTAAGCCGGATGTGACGTATACATGAACAGAGTACTAAAACATTAACAAGGTAAATAAGATATTAAGAACGTTTTTTAAGATAAACTTTTAACACAAAATCTTATTACAAATTCCAGGGTGATAAGGGAGATAAAGGCGAACGGGGATTTACGACGACGTTGAAAGGAGATTCATTTCCCACCGGCATCATCGAGGGACCTCCGGGACCCCCCGGACCCCCCGGTAACATTGCCCTCCTTTAAGACAAGTAGCGTCCTAAAGTAGTTTTGCATGATATTTTTAGTAGTTGGTGCTTATGGTGTAGATTTGATGGTTTATGATCCGTAGTTCATTTATCCGTTATCAAAACAAACAATGAGCACCAGAACATAACGAGGTGGAGAGTGACGGGTAGGAGTTCAAGCACAAGTATGAAGTTGCACAGTTTTTTTAAATTATAAATTTTAATACAATAACAAACAATAACAGGATCAAAAGAGCACTTCATTGATAACGATAATAGCACCTCTAGCTATGATTCCTTGATCTCGCTTACGCTAATTCTTCGGGAAAAAATCTGAAAATTCCGATGCATTATTGCACCGACGGATGGCTGTTGAGAAACCAGACACGCGTGAGCTGAGACTCTGATGCAGAAGATGTTAGAGCAGTACGAGATGTGTGAGGCGTGTGTATGTATGTGTGAAGGGGCTGCGGGGGCGCGGGGCGAGCGAGGCGAGGCGGGGAGCGCGGGGCCCCCCGGACCGCCCGGCGAGCGCGGCACACGCGGCAAACGCGGCAAGCGGGTAACTGCACGCCCCTCTTATACTGCTCACGACATACTTGCATCGCATCGCATCGTGTCCAATTGTAGATTGTAAAGTTTATATTATGGTTTATCATTATACACACGGACTATTGCAAATCATACTTAGTTCCGCTCTCTCGGTGGCGAAATAATAATGTTAGCTGAATAGGTACTGTCCAAGAGTTCATTGAACCCTTGAGTGCGTCTTATATATAACGCATTTTTGTCCTTATGATCTTGACTTCATTAGAGAATTCAGCCGTCAGTGAAGATTACAATAACGCAACATATAAAATGTTTTAATCTATACTTTTAACATTATAAAGCTGAAGGGTTGGTTTGTTTGTTTGAACGCGCTAATCTCAGGAACTACTGGTCCGATTTGAAAAATTATAGTGTTAGATAGCTCATTTATTGAGGAAGGCTTTAGGCTATATAAAATGGCGCTAAGACCAATGCAAGCGAAGCACCAATAAATAATATTACAAAAACGGTTCTTTTTCCCTTTTGAGAGCTTCCGCTGCGTGCGCTGCAGAAACGGTTAAAGTTTCGCTAAAATAATATATGACAGAATTGTTCCCCTTTAAAAGATCTAAAAAAAAGTCCCCGATAGCATATGTCTATACGTTAAGGAAGGCTTACTATAACGTTTTTTATGCTAACCAAATTTGTTTCAAAAATGAAGCATTATTTGTGAAGGTGTTTTTATAAAGATGATATTAATCCCTATCCAAATAAATACGTTATTCACTACAACATTGAAACACCCAAATCACTTCAAGATAGGCTTTGACAATTATATATTTTTCTGGATTTCTCCAGGATCCCATCACCAGATTATCTGATGGATACCAGGATCCAGACATCTTTATGATTACAGGACCATTCGGGAAGTCTACCCGTCTAGTCTTTTTCGAACAAAAAAAAGGAAAAAGAATTATCAGAATCAGTTCAAGCTTTTTTGAAAAATCGGTGAACATGCATGTATAAAAAAATCATGGTCGAATTGATAACTTCCTCTTTTGAAATCGGTTAAAAAGCGTGATTTTGGTACCCTAAATAGCTCCTTAACATTCTATTATTCAAAAATATTTTCACTTTCTACGTAAATGAAGAGGCGGGTAAAATTTTGCGTTATCCCAAAGTAACTAATCCACGCGGACGAAGTCGCGGGCAAAAGCTATTTTTTTATATTTCCACATAGCAACAATTTTGACTGAGATTGCTGGGGCCACAGTGAAACTGGTGAGAATTCTAAGATCTCAGTATAGTTACAACGGCTACTCCACCCTTCGAACCGAAACGCATTACTGCTTCACGGCGGAAATAGGCGGGGTGGTGGTACCTACTCGTGCGGAATCCCAAGAGGTTTTACCACCAGTGAATTCCCCCTAAAACAATGTCACTGAACACCGGTACTCGTCTAAATTTAAAACTCATACAAAATAATTCAATGAATTAAAGGCGTGACTCGGATAAAAAGGGAAAAATAATAACATAATATAATAATGTTTGTTGAATGTTACCAAACGTACCTAGCGCCGACAGGCTCGTTGTGTCATTTGACGCCAGCCTGCTTGAACATTTTATGGATTTTACAAAAGTTTCTTCCAATATTGCGTTGTGTATTATTCTTCAATAAATAATTCCCGTAATTATACAGATCATGACTATAATAATACCACGGGATGTTGGATATAATATGTTAGTTCTTTTGAATCGCTTAATGACTATCTCCTCCGTCTAAGTTTATTGTCGCGGTCAGTCTGTGTAATAGGTCGTTGGTTCTGATCCGGTTCGAAGGTGCAAACTATACACATGCGTGACGAGCATGCAGTGATTTTGTTATTTAAGACAGCAGCTTTACAACGTTGGTAACCTAATTAAATTCAATGTTCAATGTAGTGTTTAAATAAATTTACCAAGAGAATGTGGTGTCTTAATTAGCACAGTCTGCTGAATTGTCGAAAAAGTTATTGCAGAAATCTTTACGCAATGTACATCATACAAATTACACTGCACCGAGGATTACGTATTTCAATTGAAAAGCTTTGAATCAATATATGCATGTGTTGAAGTGCACTGGCGATGACGGCATGAGGCTGTGCATGGTGACGCGTGGCATGTGCTCGGTATGACGCGGAGAGGCTGACGTCGTCACGCCTAGATTGTGTTGTGTGTGTGTTGTGTGTGTGTTGTGGTACAAATGACAACTAACGACTAAACGGAGCGGGGGTGGGGGCAGGGGCGCGCCGGGCGGGGCCCGCTCGCGTCGGCCGCTGCTCCTTACACTACAAGGTAATTTTAGTCGCTTTTTTATACTACCTAGAACTATTACATGTTATCACTACGTTTCGTTGTCTAGTTTCGAATGTCTGACTAATCAAAATAGATTTGATAACTATCTTCTTATTTCTGTTATCACATTAAAAAGGAATCAGAAGTTAAAATAACGGCTTAATTAGAAAAAAAGGTGAAATACCTCGTGTGCTTTTGGTTCATAGATTAGTCTATTTCTGGCGTGACGTAGAGCGGTACGATGCCGTGCCGATGGTCACATTGGTCTCGGTACCTCTTGGTCACTCCGTCCTCTACTTACTGATATAACATACTGGTTGTGCGCGTCACCAGGTCGCACGGGCGAGGCGGGTCCGCGCGGCCCCCCCGGAGCGGATGGCGCCCCGGGACTAGCTGGGGTTCCCGGCCCCCCTGGAAAGCCGGTCAGTTTATACAAAATTAATAACAAAACGCTGTTCACTATCTTGTTGTGTCAGTTTAATAATTTAAAAATTAACGAAGCCAATAATGCTTAATTTACAGGGTGAGCCGGGACCTAAGGGTGGCAAGGGTGAATATGGAGACATGGGTTCTCCGGGTATGCTGGGAGCCCCGGGACTACCTGGCCCGCCTGGTTACCCGGGCCTTAAGGGTGAAAAGGGCGACAAGGGAGATTCGGTAAGCAGCGCTATTCGTAATAACAATTATTTGGCCCTTCTACAAATAAAAGAAAAGATGTGTGGTGTCGTGGGACACCGGATAGGAACGAAGTTCCTTATTATAAAAATATTAATTTTAAGTTCTATTCGAGGTATAAAGAAAATAAAACTGGAGGTTTCGCAACAAACCACGGTCATTCGGTAACGTGCGAACTTATTGTGGTACACTTCATTCACGGTTTTTTGCATAAGAGTTAGTGTATTGCGCAAACGAACGCTCTGAGATCGTGGTCAATGAATGATAAAAAAATATGTTATTTTTTGTACGTTATTACAAAGTTAAGTGTCGTACACTGTGTGCATTACTAATAAAAATCTTAGGTTACGGACGTTTTTTCCCGGTTAGGGTATCCCTCCGCATCGTCCCATAAGGAACTTCGTTCCAAAAACTGTTTCATTTAAATGTACGAGCAATTATGATAGCGCTATGTTTTGTTCCCGGCCGGCTCGCGGTGGCGGCTCCCCTCCAGAAGTACAGGAAGCTGAGAAGAAGGCAGGTAACTATCTATACCTTTAGAACACACAGCGCGCTCACAACAGTGATAGAGCCCTGAACGACGACACTTTAATACGAACAAGCTATACTTCATAGACATAACAAAGTAAACATAAATACACAGAAGGGTCTGTGACTTAAAGGGTACGCGGCCCGCCAAATGGTGTCAAGCGATAAGACCTTATCGGTGTTCAAATTATCGCCTCACTCATGTTCACGGAAGACTACTGGGACGTAATAACAGCATGTAGTAAAAATAAAAAATAAACCCGCCAAATATATAAATTTGTACACTGGTAATTATTGGTGGCAGAGAGTAACAGTGAGCCCGCAAACATAAATATTATACCGCGATCCTTACCGCGCGGTGGCTTATATAATACATTCAAGACTTCGACTTTATGTTTCGAGGGAGGTAGCGACCACAAACTATGAACAGGTGAGCCGCCAGCTCGTCTACCCGTGCGATGTAAGTCTGACACACGTTGGACAGGTAATCTTTATGCCCACCGTTGAACTTGCAGGGAGACGGCACCGGCTACGAGCTCTACGGACACGACATGGTGAGTTCAACTCTATCGCTGTACCCAAACTGCCTCAAACTCGTCTCATTACGTGAGCGACAGGATGCACACTGTGAAGTCGCCGTGCTGCGGTGACCATCTCAAACGATAGCACAGAGCTCGTTAATGGACGTCAAATAAAAACTGTACTTGTCGCCTCCGCCCCGAGACTGGGGCTTGCTCTATGTGCTTTTTATTAAGCGGGATATTATTTAAACCTCCTCTGGACAGAAAGTGTATATTTACCTTTTTAGTAGATATATGTTTTATCTTCTTTCGATAAAATATTCATAGATCTGGTTATAAACAAGGACATATGGAAGCATGTGGCCATGATTCATACAACACCTAATTACACATGAAGTTACTTGAATCCGACAATAGGAAGCCTAATCTTAAACAAGGACCTTAGAGTTGGAAACTCATTGTCTCGTGGACACGACACGACACGCCGCGACACGCCGCGACACGCCGCGCCATGACACGCCATGACTCGGCACGTTTGATTCGAAGTTTAACTAATCCTCTGCATGTGTAAGATTGGGAGTTCAAGATAAATATAGAATCTAAATATTAACAAAAGTAAGAAAATTTTTAGTGTACCACTCACCTGGTGAGGATAGTAGGTATGATTTTTCGACCGTGGTGGGATCTCGTACTTCCCCCCAGTCGTGAGTACATGTGTGGCACTGAGGAAGCGATAGATTTTGTAAAATAAGTACATTAAACAAATATAATAAAGAAATTCCTAAATTAAAAACATAAATAGGGGCGCTTCCAATGGGATCGTGGAATAAATCAAAAAAAAAAAAACTAACTTTAGAGGTCACATCGTTGATAAGTTATGATCTAAGCTAAATGATGCGCAGTAAGGAAATTGAAGAATGCATCAATTTTTTTTATGTAGTCTTGCTGTGAATAAATAAATGGCTCGGTCAATCTTTGAAGACCAACATTCGACCAAAACATCACTCAGGCCGGATTATACGCACATTGTAACCTACTGACTAAGAAACATCCGTGGAGCTTTGAACAAAATTAAATACTCAATTTCTAATTCTAATTCATCCTACTTTGTTAAAATTTACTCTGTAGTAAAAAAAACTTTGCAGTTCAGACATATTTCCACGCCTAACAAGTGGCTTTTATTGTACCCCTCATTCATTTTTGAATTATTGGTGCTTAGAACGCAACTGAAATCATACCCGATCCTGTAGACCGAATGGTAAACAGTCGACGTCACCCAAAACACGTCGTTACGGATCCTCCCGATCCATTAGCGGTGCTTTTAGGTACCACAAGCACTGGTCACCGTCCTCGTCGAACCCGTCGCTTGCGACGAAGGGCTCGACGAGCGAATTAACCCATAGACACAGCCCACTGAGTTTCTCGCCGGATCTTCTCAGTGGGTCGCGTTTCCGATCCGGTGGTAGATTCTGCGAAGCATTGCTCTTGCTAGGGTCAGTGTTAGCATCACTCCGGTTTGAGCGCCATGAGCTCACCGACTAGTTAAGGTTACGCTGAAATAGCCTCTCAAGGCTATTAGCTTTAGCTTAGGTAGGAAAAAAAAGCAACTGAAACAACAACAGTGGTCAGTATTTAAAAGGGCTCCTGTTGTCCTATCTGCAACACAAACCCAATTGAATGGAGCTTCTACTGGAGTAAGAACATAGAAGCTGAACTAAGATTGTAGATTTGCTTTACGTTGCCTTTTAATATGGTTTACAACCTGGAAAATTGGAAACGATACCTAGATATTAGTATAATGTAATGTAAAGTGGTGTGTCTGTTCAGATGTTGGGACCGCCGGGGCCGCCGGGACCGTCGGGGCCCCCCGGGGTGGCGGGCCCGCCCGGGATCAAAGGCGACAAGGGGGAGCCTGGCATCCGGGGCAAGGCGGTAAGTTACGGTTTTATCGATCTTTCATCCTGTGAGAATCGCAGGTACTAAATAAATTAAAATAGAAACTATTTAGAAATTCACTTTCCAATTGTAATTTGACGTAAGATCAAGTACACGAAACCCAAAAAATAAATCGAATATAACATATAATAGAAGGTCTTGCAGATCACAGGGTCGTACCGTCAGATCATCTGTACTCGATAACGATAAAAAGTGTATTGACCTCCAGATTTTTTTATGGAGGGATACCTTTCACCGTTTTTATAACGGGTCACGACCTACACATATAGTATCTGTAGTAGTATATTAAATTTTTTCATAGTATTTATAATTTTTTTAACGTTTCAGGGCGATCGAGGAGAAAAAGGAGATGCTGGCCCTATGGGACTACCCGTAAGTATCAACTAAAATATACAATTGAAGTGCAATTAAGCACAAGACTAAAGTCGAGAATTTTTATTTGGAATAGCCAAGATAGGCACATCTATTCACACCCCAGCATAATGACGCTAACCACCCTAATACATGAACGTTTTTAGAAAATCAAAGAACACACGAATACAAAGCAGCAACTGCATTCTTTCATGTAAACAAAAATTACATAGTTGATGACTCAAAAATTCCACTCCAAAGGATTTAAAGATAAAGGAAAAAAATTCAGTTATTCGTCCTGTTGTTGTCCTGGTAAAATGGGTTCCTATCGCGATGCTACTACTACTACTGCTCACGAATTGCTTCCAAAAGAGCTGGCAAGCAAATTTTACTATACCGCTCTTTTTATAGGCCGGGGTTAAATTTCTCAGTAAATATCCCCCACCCAGGCGGTGCGCAGGGCACAGTAGGGATAACCGGTGACAATACTGCTACTAGACACAGGGCCTTAAGACCTAGTAGTAGTGATGGATGATACCAGTCTAAAGTGATATATTATTTTCTACAAGATTATAGCAAAATAGTCAGTCTTCCGAAGAATGAACCATTCACCTTCTTCTCGATTCTTTCATCACTTTTGTTGGTAAATCTTCAAAAGAAGAATAAACCCGGACTTTACCATCGGAGATGACATCCAAGACAGCGTTTGAGGCAGCTTCATCAAATCTTAACAACATTTTGCGACATCGATGCAACGGCATTTTCGAGCTTCGATTAAATCGTTAACTATCCAGACTGAAGCTAATTCCATGTGCCACAATCCTTAATAAGGTCAGATGATCGTGTAAGATTTTTATTCTTGACTCGTTCGGACTTGTCCGAATCTCCTGATTGATCACGCTCTTGTCAGACTATATCTTGAGACGCACGTATTTGATATTTGATCCTTCGGAGTCACAGATGCAGGGCGACCTTCACACGGATCATCAGTGAACCTGATACGACCACGCTTCAATAACCTAAACCAGCTATAAAAATCTCACAAGATCGGGTCGAATTTTGGAGCACCAGTTGAAGTTTATTGTAACTGGCCTGTGGATCAAAACCACAGCCAAAAGCATAAGCATCATGCAGCGACATTTTTCACGCGTTGATTCTAAATTGGCCGGTTCTATAAACTTCCAGCATCACCCTTGTATCAAATCGTCACACGCTTTGTTGTCTTACCATTTAGGCCGGTAACTTTAACAGTATCTTTACAGTGGCCACGGTCATAGACAGGACGGTAGTCACGACGTGTATGGGCAATTATGACGACTACCACCTTCTAATGAATGGTCAAACAGATGGTAGCATTAGGGACCTCTAAGATCATACGAATCCTTATTTACAGGGACCGGTCGGGCTGCCGGGTGAGCCGGGCAGGCCGGGAGACTCGGGCCGCCGGGTGAGTACACTCTCTTACATACGTATTACAATTAGTTACAGTACCTACATAGTTCAATAACAACTAACAGTCGTTCAACAACGGCCCACCTAACTGAAATAATACTGCATGCACTATAATAATATTAACACCTATTGTAACAAGGTTTCATTGAGCAGACGGCTTTACAATCATCTTAATAATTGGGTCGCTGCGGTTTATTTGAAGGGGTGCAACGATCTGCCGTGCAAGTCTGCTAAATAAACGATACATATATACATAATAACATGTCCGACCGCTCGCTCGACGCTCAAACGACTGCCTGATGTAATCTTGGCAACATCTGTCCGCGCGCCGCGGACCGTGGCGCTGCAACTTGCACGCTGACGGGCGCCGTGTGCGCGTGCGCGTGCGCGTGTGCATGCGTGTGTGCGTGCGAGCGTGTACTAACGGGCCGGTGTCGGTGTGGGTGCAGGACAACCGCTGGCCGCCGGAGTTCGCCTTCACGTAGTGTTCCCCCGCCGCCGCGAGCGCGCCCCGCGCCCCTCCCGCACCCTCAGGCGGCCCCGTGACGTCATCGTGGAAACCCTTGTAAATTATTGTAAATGTGTATTTATTGCGCTTAAATGTAAGTGAACTAGCGTTACCAATTAACTCTTACGGATGTGTACAAAATTGATATTTTTTCATCGCTCAAATGAGATCAACATTATAATTATAACGTTTAGTCCACTTTGTTCCTCTCTGTCTTGTAAATATATGTATCTTAATGTACCCAGTACTCGTACAAAGAGCGGAGAATTAGAACTCACGCATCTACAACGAATATTATAAAATAAATTTAAAAATATTGCTGAACTAAATAACGATGTTGGTTCTCCACAAAAATACATTAATATAGTATACAGTATTATATTATGTTATAATATTGAACATTTTTATTAAATATTTAGCGTTTATAATGAATGTTCTAGTTACTTTACGAGGCTAGTTGCGCTAGAATGTATGTAAATGTATAATTGTTATTGAAACGCAGAAGTGTCGTAAGCCACAAGAAGTCGTTTGTCGCACACGCGCGCCCGCCGAGTCGCGCCTAGTTCGTCGCGCACACGGACACACGGACCGACCGGCCACCGCGCCGAACATGTCACTATATACTCGTAGATACTTCTCATAGGTACCTACTCCTAATTGAACTTCGAAAATCAAGTGCATTGATAACTAATTGTTACAGGCGTTAAATTACTATTGTTAAGACATGTGAATCAAGGAAAATGATTATTTTTAAACTAGGTATTTGTAAATGTCCTCGCCAGTACCGGGTGCCAACTACCGTAAGTGATACCTCAGCTGTTGGAGCCACATGGTAGAGTGCAGCCCCCTCATACATTGTGATATACTATTTAAAGTGTTAAAATGAATGTAAAATAACAATTATAATAATGCGTATACAATATAAGTAAATGATACACCATATCTCTATTAAGTTCTATGAATTGTTAAGATTGAATGTATTTATTGTCTTAAGTGTTTCTCGTTCGTCCTGTAAGTATGTATGTAATCTTAGAATATAGTAGGTGTCGTCGTGGAGCGGAGCGCCCGTGGACCGGTGCATACTCGTAGCGGCGGCGCTCGGCTCCACGGCGCGCCACGACACGTCGCCCGCACCGGGCACGCGTCCAGCCCGCGGCCTCCCGTCCCACTCGCACTTACTGAGCCACGGCTCTATCCTTCTTCGTCTAAATCTATGTCTAGAATTAATCACCCTAGTTGTTGTCTTGCCATTGTATCTTCTAATATTATTAATCAAGTTATTGTACAATCCTCGGGACCGTTCGGGACCGAGCCTATAGAGTGCCATAATCGCGATTGATCTTGCTAGCCCCGATGCACCGACGAGCGACGTAAGTATAACATTATGTACTCGCGTCAAGTCGCGTCGCCGTCAAGCGAGGCGGGACGATCGGCAGGATGGGTGCTGGAGATCACCGCGACGCGTTCCACTCCCGCGTGTGTCATTATAATTATTAGTACTTACTTCGCCTACCTATGTAGACCTTCAGACAACAAACAACAGAGCGTTCCAAAGTCAAACGAGAACTATGAAGATCAATCATTAGAAGCATTTGTTCATATTTTAATAAAACAATGTTTAATGTTAGTATTGAAGAGCGACCAATATTTTGGAATAATTGTGTTAATTGTTGAAGCCCTCATGGACTGGCGCTCGGCTCCACGCCCTCCCGTCATGTGACGCGCTCCGAGCCGGACTTTCTCTCTCTCACTCTCACTCCCTGTCCCCCCACTCTCCCTCTCCCCCTCTCTGTCACTCATTCGATGTATCGTTATAAAATATAAGCTTAACGTTAAGAATTTAGTTTTTTTATGAGACGCCGAAGTTGTCATTTGTACCATATACTCCGGGAATACAAATATATTGTTGTTTATAAATTATTTTGAATGAAAAATAAAGGTTTGCATGCTATGCACCCCTGTGTTTCTGTTCACGCCGAGCACACGCCGGCCTCACTCGCATCCTGCATGTCGCTCGCCGCTCGCCGCCCCACTGGTTCTACCTTTACAAACAGACTTGAGCAGACCTGAGTCGTTCGACGAGGAGCGGAGCATGCGGTGTCAGCACGTGACGCTCAGTACGTACGGCGTGCTCCATTTACCATATAAACACTCAAAACTGTTTGCTAATATTTTTTTATTAGTAATCTGGTATAACGATGTTTAAAGAAAACTGTATGGTCTCGAAGCTGCCGCCGAGAGACACGGTGCAGAGTGGATGTGTGTGAGCGAGATGTACTGACAGTGGTGTTGTTCCACAGGGCCCGCCCGGACTCGACGGCATGAAGGTGAGTCGCTCGGCGGCGTGTCTAGTGTAGTGTAGTGTAGCGCACAGTGCACACGTGTATATTGGTTGTCTGATCCCGCGCAGGGCGCACAAGGCGAGCCCGGCTCCAAGGGGGAGCGCGGCGACCCCGGCCTGCCGGTACGTCACTTCAATCCTTTATTATTTACAAACGATTATTTATTTGCGAACTGAACACAACTTTGTACCAATTCCAGGGAACTGACGGTATTCCCGGTCAAGAGGTCAGTATCGCGGGGGGCGCGCGTGGACCACGAGATTGTGTGCCATATTAATGATTATTTTCACTGCGTAGGGTCCGAAGGGCGACAAAGGCTACAAGGGGGAGCCAGTGAGTTATGGACGACACACTTTATGTATATTTTCTACTCGATCGCGTCACTAACTTTCAGTAAACTAACAAAGTACGCTGCACGTCACTAACCTTGTCTCTTGTACGCTTCCGGGATGATTCTCTTGCCAGTGGGCTTGCTCTCTCTTACTGGGTAATGATACATTTATAAACTAATGTCTTTGATACAGGTACATATAAAAGATATTCACTATAAGGGTACATTGAAGATATCTCCCTGTTTGGGCGCTGGATCCGTTATCGTTATTACTTCATTGCCAAATCTAGATGGTCTCGTGCCTTACGAATTCAGGTTCTGCACAGTACCTACATAATGAATAAATAATTGATTCGAAGACATTCGATGTAGCGGTCTAGTGGTCGCACGTAGAGCGCGTGACTTGACGTGTATTTGACGAGTGGATGTGGCAGGGCCCGGTCGGCAAGCGCGGCAGGAAGGGCGACAAGGGCGACAAGGGCGAGCAGGGCGTGCCGGGGCTGGACGCGCCCTGCCCGCTGGGACACGACGGCCTGCCCCTGCCCGGCTGCGGCTGGAGACCCAACAAGGTGACTCTCGGCTTTCTTTACGGCTTCATTGTTCTGGTGTGCTTGTGTAGTTTTGTCGAATAATTTAATCAATACTTAGTTACTTTTTTATTTTTTAACTATCACAAACAATTAGTTCAGAAGTTACTGATATCTTTAAAATTAATATTTTATTACACAGCATTTTACAATTTTTATGTCGCTGTCTTGTGTCATGATTAATATACCTTTATATAGTATGTAACTGCTTCTATTACTATTATCATATTATATAAGGTGTCGGAACACAGAGTCGAAATTTGAGATGCGGCATCGAGAGCCGGGGGCTGGTGTCGTAATGCAGGGGGGGGGGAGGTGCGCGGCTACTTACAACCATATATTTTTAGCGACCGACATGTAAATACTAGAACAAGAAAAACAGGTTGATTCATAGCGTTGAAGTCGTCTCGACGAGCGGGACAGCTCGAACCCTGCACGCAGCTAACAATTTGCTCTGATCAAATACTTACCTAACAAAAGTTCACTAATTACTTCCACTATGTAGGAATAGCCTCGCGTAATAAAAAAAAGAAAAAACGCCTTGTGAGTCTGCACGGGTAGGTAACGCCACGCTGCCTATTTCTGCCGTGAAGCAGTAATGTGTTTCAGTATGAAGGGTGGAACGGCGGTTGTACTGTAAAACTGAAACTTAGAACTCATGTCTCAAGGTCGGGGGCGCCATTTACGTTGCTGATGTCTATAGGCCCCGGTGACCAATTAACATCGGATGGACTGTGAGCTCGTGCACCAATATTAGCAATAAAAAATAATTATTAGCACAAGCATTGAGTCTGAATGAATCAATCGACTCGGGAGCGGGGAACGGTAAGGAGCTTTCCCAGTAAGCTATCCTAGGTTGCACAAAGCACAGATACATGTTGAGACACACCCAGGGCTGTCACACCTCCGGCGAAGACGGCGCAAGTACGTTAAATCATATTTATGTAAAATGGTAAAGAAATAAGTACATTACGACAATGCTTAGGAAGCGATTTTCTCAAGTTTCGACTTAGTAGGGCTGGTAGCAGGGAGGTAGCAGGGTGCATGTAGTGGTGGTAGTGGCGTTGTATTGATGCACGGGTGTGTGTGCGGTGTCCGCGACAGGAGTCGGTGCCGCTGCTGCCGCCGCGCGAGGGTGAGGCCGCGGGGGCGGGCGCGGGGGGAGAGCGCTCCGAGGAGGAGGACGAGGAGCCCGCGGAGGAGTACGAGGGACGCGAGGACGAGCTAGAGGCGCCGCGCGACTACGACGACTACACTGACAACTCGCATCTAACGCACCATCACGACTAACACACACACACACACACACACACACACAGCACACGTTCATGCTTCCTCGCGCGCACACATTTCGACTCATCACATCTTTTCTTAATTCCTTTATACATTTTTCTCCCGAAGCCTGACGATCTCTATTCTTATTCTAACTGTCCACTGTCGCTCTGAACAAAGATCAGAGCTCTGGTGCTCATCTCCACTTCACGTTGTGGGTCACGGCGTTCTCGGACCTCATCACGAGGAATCAACTACCGAATGTCCTCACTTCTCTCTTCCCTCCGTCTCCCTCCCACACCACACAGTACTAAAACTCGGCGCACTCCTCGGCAGCGAGTGCTAGCGGAGCGGCCGCCGCCTACAGTGCTACAGTGAGAATACTCTCAGCCCTTGATGTTATATTCACAGTCTAATGTACTTGTAATATAAATCTGTAGGTACTTTGCATGCATGCCACTTATTAACGGTTTGTTTTGTTTATTTATTTAATTAATAGTACAAACAAAGTAATCTCTAATTCAAAACATGATAAATGCAACGATAAATGAAAGAATTTTCACTGCAGCTTTTTTTACTTACACAATACGAAAATACTGTTTTTCGACCAATTTACATCAGACCAAAATACAATTAGAAAAGCTTACATCCAATATTTTTATTATGTTTGCATTTGATTTTACTTAATTACATTATTTAATTTCTATAATTCCGAGAAGTACATTGTATATCTCAAACAGATTGTTGAATGCGTACAGGAGGCAATGATGCAGTGGGTGCGACGCCGGCTCGACGCGGACAACGACCTGCCTCTCTGAAACTCTACCGCGCTCTACACCTCTACACCTTTCTGTCAGAGTCGACTTTTACAAACAAATATCATTTTCTTATTTGTTTTAGGCGAACATCTATACTCGTTCATACATTCATTCTGTATAAAAATGAACGTCTAATACAAATGTGTCAGTGAGCTCGTACAATAACTACTGTAAATATTAGAGGTACTCCTTCTTAGCAGAAACGACTTGTAATATTTGTACGGTATGCTTCTGTATATTGCGGGTTACAGGAGCCTCGTTGGGAGCGGTTCTCTGTGTACTGAGTTTGTCATTGCATTGTTGTATCATTAATTATTCTAATGAAATACTAAATGTAAATATGTAAGCAGCGCTCACCCGAGCCCGTGTCTGAATGCAATGAATGAGACTGGACGAGTGCGTCGGGTCGCGAGGTGCTCACAATATTGTTATGAGAGCGTGTTGCTTCACTCTGTACATAATGTTATTACTTACAACTTGTTTCGTACTGAATAAATCGTATTTTGGAACAAAACTGATATTTTATTGTAATAAATATATTTATCCTAAACTGTAACACGATCAAATCTCAGGTACGCCGCCAGTGCAGCAGATGCTAGCTAGCCGGTAGCTCTTTGCAGCGGCCACACATCGCTGCGAATCATCAATACTCCATTGAAATGTTACATGAGCTTTGCATTTTTTAGAGGACGCAATTTTATTTTTGAGTCATATGTGGGGGTCAATAGAAGCTTAGCTTAAGATAACAATAGAAGCTTGTGGGGTCACCGCCCTTGTCCCCCGGCCGCCATCTTGAAAAAAAGGGTTAAAATACTTTTCGCGATATCTCGGAAACTATGCGGCTTAGAAAAAAATTGTAAAGTCATAATTTGTAACAAATTGTTTTGCCTACAAATATGCTTATATAACTTTTGCTCTAAATTTAAAATTAAAGAAGTTATAAGCAAAAAAGTAAGAAAAGTGTTATAAAAATTTTTTGCTCTATAACTTTTATTTAATACATTTTACAAAAAAATCTCCTCAGACAAATCTTGTCCACAGCCTGGACCATCGAAGAAAAGTCGATTAGAGTAGGTAGCTAATAAGTGATTAAAAATATTATGATGTCGAGGATTACCTTATAAGCAAGATGTCCGTGGAGTAGACCTACTGGATACCACACAAAAACAAAGCGCCTACAGACTCTACCTCATAGGCGGCGGGGAAAAGAGTTAGAATGAATAAGTAAAGTTCTACGATTTTTTTTTTGAAGTGAAACTTCTTTGGGCGCATGAGGGTAAAATTTTTATAGAACGTCACGCAGGTATGCAACGGAAGTGACATCAAACTACTATTGAAATTAAATACTTGTCAAATGTCAGTAGTAGTAGTTGTTGTATTTTTCCAACTGGAAAGGCTATCAAAGGGTATCATACCATACAGCCTAATATTTTATAATCTTTTTGTGAAAAATGTTAATAGGAATTGAAATGAAATGAAAAGAATTTGGAACATTAATCAAATAGCATGAAATTAAATTAGTCAATTCAATTGGCAAAATATTAGTCATTTACAATTTAGAAATCTAAACATAATGTGACTGTCAACACTGAGGTTTGAGATTGACATTTGACAAACTTTTGGCAGGAACATATCTTCCTTTTTTCCTTCCTCTAAGTCTCGGAAATCTAAAGTTTTAGATTTGTATAAATATAAGCAAGACTTATAAATTAGTTCGCCAAAAAAGTTTCACTTCTGACATGTGTACTTTGTACGCACGCACTTTTTTTTTTTCTTTATCTTGCAATCAGTTAACTAGACTATGAGCAGATGTGTTGAGAGCTGTTAGGGGATCGTTCTAAGCAGTGATACCGAGGCGCTGCTCGGCATGGGGAGCTCTGTCATTCTGGCGGGCGACCTAAATTGTAAACACATCAGGTGGAACTCACACACCACAACCCCGAATGGCAGGCGGCTTGATGCGTTAGTTGATGATCTCTCCTTCGATATCGTCGCTCCGCTAACCCCGACTCACTACCCGCTAAATATCGCGCATCGCCCGGATATACTCGACATAGCGTTATTAAAAAACGTAACTCTGCGCTTACACTCGATCGAAGTAGTTTCACAGTTAGATTCCGACCACCGTCCCGTCGTTATAAAGCTCGGTCGCGCTCCCGATTCCGTTCCCGTCACGAGGACTGTGGTGGATTGGCACAAGCTGGGCATCAACCTGGCTGAATCTGATCCACCATCGCTCCCGTTTAGCCCGGACTCTACCCCGTCTCCTCAGGATACCGCTGCAGCCATAGACATCTTAACGTCACACATCACCTCGACATTAGATAGGTCATCGAAACAAGTTGTAGCGGAGGACTTCCTTCACCGCTTCAAATTGTTCGACGATATTAGGGAACTCCTTAGAGCTAAGAACGCCTTAAAACGCGCCTACGACAGGTATCCTACCGCGGAAAATCGTATTCGAATGCGTGCCCTACAACGCGACGTAAAGTCTCGCATCGCCGAAGTCCGAGATGCCAGATGGTCTGATTTCTTAGAAGGACTCTCGCCCTTCCAAAGGTCTTACTACCGCTTAGCTCGTACTCTCAAATCGGATACGGTAGTAACTATGCCCCCCCTCGATGATGATGACGAAAAAGCAGAACTGCTGGCCGATACATTGCAAACCCAGTGCACGCCCAGCACTCAATCCGTGGACCCTGTTCATGTAGAATTAGTAGACAGTGAGGTAGAATGCAGAGCCTCCTTGCCACCCTCGGATGCGTTACCACCCGTCACCCCGATGGAAGTTAAAGACTTGATCAAAGACCTACGTCCTCGCAAGGCTCCCGGTTCCGACGGTATATCCAACCGCGTTATTAAACTTCTACCCGTCCAACTCATCGTGATGTTGGCATCTATTTTCAATGCCGCTATGGCGAACTGTATCTTTCCCGNTAATTATACCATTCCATGTGTTTTCCGAATTTCGCCGTGTTTGTTCGTAGCACAGTCTATTTAAATGAATTGCTTACATAAAAATGTGATTTGATATTTGCAAAGGGGTGTCCCTCTGGGTGCTGGAATTACAGTGTAGCAGTGCGACCAGGATATAATTGAATGTGGGTAACACTTGTCATGTGACTTACTGGTATAATTACTGGACGTAGGACCTCTTGTAAGTCCGCGCGGGTAGGTATTACCGTCCTGCCTATTTCTGCCGTGAAGCAGTAATGCGTTTCGGTTTGAAGGGCGGGGTAGCCGTTGTACTGTTAAAACGGAGACCTTAGAACACATGTTGAAGTCTAGATGTCTTTGGGCTCCGGTAACCGTTTAACACCAGGTGGGCCGTGAGCTCGTCCACGCATTTAATCAATAAAAAATAAAAACTTGATGTTGCAACAAAAACTTGATGTTAAAAATAAGTAAATTAATTTAGTTATTAATTGAGTGTTAAAATTACAAGGGCATGCTTGAACACGCGTGTCCTGGTTCCGGATATTGGGCCAAAATAAAAAATAAAAAAATTTTTCAGCCATCCTTGATACGTGTGTAAATCTTTAGTCGCATTACTGCTTCAAGGCAGAAATAGGCACGGCGGTGGTACCTACCCGTTCGGACTCACAAGAGGTCCTACCACCAGTAATTACGCAAATTATAATTTTGCGGGTTTCACTTTTATTACACTATGTTATTCCTTCACCGTGAAAGTCAAACGTGAATATTTGTTGAGTACGTATTTCATTAGAAAAATTGGTACCCGCCTGCGGGGTTTGAACACCGTTGCATCGCTTCAACACGAATGCACCGGACGTCTTATCCTTGAGGCCACGACGACTTCGTTTACATTTTTTGTGCACGTTTATAATTATTTCATTTACTAATTTATTGTTAGGTAGTAAAAATGCAAAAACTAAGAAATTGTAACTATATTCTGTGAACTAGATTGTGTTGTAATTACAACTTAAATTATTGCTTCATTTATGATTTGATTGTAAGCTTTTCATCACGACCCCTCATTGGTTTTATACATATACATATATAAATGATAAACAAAATCTTTTACCGCATTTATTATTAGAGAACGATCAAAAACCTCTAGTCTTATAACTTTCAATTATGAACAAATAAAGACGTATATGTATATAATGTACGGGTCAAACTTAAATGCGATTGAATATGTCGCGGATATAAATTTACGGGATACAATTTATGAGCAAATTGATGATAATTAATACTAATTTTACAGTTTAATCTTGCGTTAACTGCTTTAGTTTTTTCGACATTTCGTCTTAATTATTTACAGTTTTCGTGGACGTGGACGAAATAATATTAAATAACATTTAAAAAAAAACATATTTTTTTTGTGATACACATAGTGTCATTCCCCAGACGCGATCTGTTTCAATTTACGCAATCTTATGGCGGATGCACGCCCTTACTTATTATACCTTTAAATTACCACGAACTTGCTTTCGAGCAATTCACGTCTTCTTAAATTCTTACCTACCACAAAAAACAGAAATGAAAAATTTGATTGTGAGATCCAAAAATACCGGGTACATTCGATTTTTTAAATTTCATCCTTAACGGAACTGCTATTTTTTTTCCTCTTTCCTGCCTATGCTGATAGCCTTAAGAGGTTATTTCAGCTTCTTGACATATAGGTGAGCTCACGGGGCTCAAACCGGAGTGTTGCTAACACTGGCCGTAGCAAGGGCAATGCTTTGCAGAATTTAACAACCGGATCGGAAACACGACCCACTGAGAAGATCCGACGAGAAACTCAGTGGGCTGCGTCGATGGGTTAATTTACTCCACGAGCTCTTCGTCGCAAGCGACGGGTTCGGCAAGGACGGTGCCCGGTGCTTGAGATACCTAAAAGCACCGTTAATGGATCTAGGAGGATCCGTAATGACGAGCTTAGGGCGAAATGCTATACAATTTAGATTTAAACATATAATTCTACAGTAAATTAAAGTACTCAATTGGTATGTAACCTACGCTTGCAGTGAAACGTGCATTGGAATTTAGTCATCACATGCTTGTATTTAAAGTTTGTTTCCGATTGCA